ATAATGTGACGAGCATGACGACCCGGTCCCAGATCAGGGCCTCACCGAACTTTTAAATTACAGCCTTAAGAATAATTTCGTATTTGAATGAGAATAAATGATTCAATACCGCGTATGTTGATAGGCTCATCTATTCCAGAACTGATTGTGGAGCCCTAATCTAAAAGATCCGAAGGTTAATGTCTCAAAACTACACTACCATGTTCGGAGGACATTGTGCAGACGACAAGCGTGATACACAGTCAGGACAAGTCAAAAATATTCTAAACCCAAATCAGCTCAGTTGCTTGATTGTAGAGGATCAGCTCTAGTCCCCATGCCTTCTTATCTTCTGTCAACCCAGAGGTCAACACACGACTGTGGTGCTCAGAAGCTGTCACGGTAAGCATTAGCTTAAGTACAGAATTTTGCGTAAGCGTGCTATATCTGTGAATAGAAGATCGGTACAATACGTCAACTGAAAAAAGGGAATTCGTAATCATACCCGGAACTTGTTCGGAGAAGAGGGCTATCAAGGTGCATTCGTCGAGTCGAGATTCGGGGTACGCATGATTCCTAGATCAACTTTGCTCTCTGAAGGTTAAACGTGTTGCCTACTCTCATGATATGATCATTGACTGCGTGAAGGCATTGTGAGGAGAGAGGATAACGCATCGCCGAAAAGAAGCTATCGAATAGGTTCCACAGTATACCAACATAGACATTAGACTCGGTAGAGAAGTACTGAAGTGCTCCGACTACGGCGAAGTAGGACAAGCCGGCCGAACCACTGGTGACCAATGTCTAGAGGATCCTCTAACTCATGGGTCATCTAGTACATGCAAGCTAGATAACTTATAAGTCATAAGGAAGTACGATCGCTGAAAAAAAGACGTTTCAGATTCTCACTCGAACCTAGCATTAGACAGACGCACAGAGAGCAGTATTTATAGCATGCAGTTATCAGGCAAATACCTGTCTACTCCAATTAGCACTTCTTGTGTTCGTCATCGGAACCCTTAATTAACGGAATTACTGCATTATAGTACGCATTCGACTCATTAATCATCTAAAGTTCATCAACATTATAGGTTCTTGGCGTGATGACTACTCGGCGATTCGGCGATGAACGCGGGAGCTATGTATGTAGTGGCACACCATGGGCCAGCATCACCTTTATTTGCAACCGTCTTTGATGAGGAGTTCGAGTGAGAAGCCACAAGGCCAGGTCAATAAATGTAGTTCCAGCAATCTTATCTACTTTTTCCTCTGAAGTTCTTCCTGGAACTCACCACCTCTTTATCTATATCGCCAAACTCACAACTGTGCACCCAAGGATTCGGTAGAAAGATACAAAAAATAAGCCCAACTCCGACAGTGTTTTTTAATCGGCAAAACTGAGAAAGGCACAAGAGTAGGCAAAGTAGCAGGTGAACCAGCATAAAAGTGATTAATGACTCCTTGATAATACACTTGAAGTAAGGAAGCGTATAAGCATATGCTCGTGCTGACCGAGACAAGCAACTCGATCAGGCGAGAAGAAAAAAAGAGGTAAGGAAGTGGAGAGAACACTGTCAATTCAAATAACGCTATCACATGTGCACATAAGGCTATCAAGTGTCGCTCATGCATGCCGAGAAGTCCTCAAATCTGATAACGGGACTCAACAATATGCCTGAGACGACGGATGATGAGAGACTGGTGGGGAGCAGGGAGGTGAGCAACGGACCTATGTCAGATGTTTGTCAGTGGGTGGAGAGTTGGGCGATCCAGCCGACGGGGAAGGGGGAGGAGGAGGACCAGCCTCGAGGCTCTCCTTGACGTCTTCTTTCACAAGGAGACTTGTCTGTTGCAGGGGAAGTCTCAAGTATAGTGGATCATGCAACCGACGGAGATCACTGCGGAGCGCAGCTAACTTGTCAGACAACTGGTTGTAGCGCTCCACATCGAAGCCTTTTTCGGTTGCCTTTTTGTAGAAAATCTTCAGGTATTCTCGGTCGAAAACTTGCGGGAAGGAGTAATCCTGCATAGATGGAAGAGAAACGGGGTAGAATATTTGAAAAAAGATACCTTAACCTTGGAAAAGGCTTTACAATAGGAGGAAGAATGCTAACACAAAGGGAATTCAGTTGACCCAATTGTGAAAAATTGCTGGCCTCAGTGGGATTCGAACTCTCATCAGTAAAAAAGGCTTTAGTACAGCCAACGCTCTACCAATTGAGCTACGAACGCACACTGAAAGCCTTGAATTTAATAAAATTGAACTTAATTATTCAAATCTGTCAATCCTCCTAATAATAAAG